GGGGGGGGGGGGGGGGGGGGGGGGTGGGGGGTCAAGTCAAAAGTGGACAAAAGTGGACAAAAGTGGGCAAAAAGGGGGGGAGGTAAAAATAGAAAAAAATTGGTGAACGTCTTTTATGGATGGTTCCTTAGGTCGATTATTATAACGCACATCCTGCCGGGCAAAACAGTCATGTCAGATCAGTGGAGAGCATATAATGCAATTGGCACCACTTCTGGATTGACTCATTGAACGATCAGTCATTCCGTTAACTGTGGATCCCAACTCAGGTGCCAATACGCAACGCATCGAACGTACGGGGAAATCGGCAAAAGAGAGAAACAAGCGCCACAATGGCACACACACACACACAGACATATGCTCGATTCTTATATATGTGAGTTCATGTGGCGTCGACGTGTTAAAGCAAATGGTTGGAATGTCTTCAACGTCATTTTAGACGACATTGTTCAATTTCGGCCACCACAGCAGCGGAGGACTTTTTTAAAGACGTCAATATGTTTTTATTCAAAATAACATTTGTTTTATTGGAAGTGTGAATAATAATACGTTTGCGGTGAATTAAAATACAAAACTATGGTGATTCCCACTGGTGATTTTAAAACTAAAACGTGTTCAAACAGAAGGCGGGAACAGGCAATATTTATGAATTAATGATGCGAAGGAAGATGCTTTTGTAGGGAAATTGATTTTTAATATTTCTAATGTAGAAAAGGCTCTCTGACTAACCATAATTTGAAAGTGACCAAGCTGAGAAGCTCGGCATTTCCCTCACTCGTCACTCGTACACACTAGCGGCCATTTTAATAGGGAGTCTTTAATAAACAAACATCATCTTGCTTTTTGTGTGCAACGCCATTGGCGGTAGACGCGAGGAAGATTATAAATGGAATATTGTGAAATGTGTTGTGATACACAGTAAAAGGAGAAATTCCATCAAGTTGTTTTGGAAGAGTTCCATTAAACGTATTTGGTCAAGGATAAATCTCCTGTGTTTTACAAACATGCTCTGGCGATGGCTTCACTAGTTGGAAACACTTGACTTATGCGTGTGAACAGTTTTTTCAATCGTATGTAATACATCAAATCACAAGTGAGAACACGAATTACTCATGTTCATTAGGAAAACTGTTTGCGTGTAGCGACAAGATCAATCGAGATCAATTTTGATGCATTTAGTTCTGCAAAACAAAGTCAAATGTCTCACTTTAAAATATTTTTAAATTGTCTAATAAATATGTTTGATTCTCAGTTATGTTTCGCAGCTTTTCCTCTTTCTCTCAATACTATTAATATGAAACATGTTGAGTAGGGTTGTGAAAAGGAAGCAGCCACACCAAAAGCAATACATACATTAGAGACCGACCGAAAGTGATTTTCTGATTTCGGCCGAAGCCGAAAATAGGCCAAAATTTTAAATGACTTTCGGCCGAAATCGAAAAAAGGCCGAAAGTTTAAAAATGACTTTCGGCCGAAACCGTAAAAAGGCCGAAAGTTAAAAATGAATTTTGGCCGAAACCGAAGCCGAAACCGAAAATGAAATATTAAGATATTTTGAAATTCGTCCCCGCATACATTCTGCATACATCGAAAATGATGTGGGAAAGTATAAATATTTACATTCTTTTTATAAAAAAAGGAGATTAATGGGGGGGGGGGGATTAATGCAAAATATTATTTTTTTAAACCGGGTCTCTAAAAATTGTGGTTGTTAAAGATCGCTTAATTTTTTTTTAAAGATCGTTTAGTTGGTTGTTATTGATCGGTTAGTTTGTTCTTAAAGATCGGTGAGTTTGTTCATAAAGATTGCTTAGATTTTTCTAAAATATCGCTTAGTTTAATCTTAAAGATCGCTTAATTTGTTCTTAAAGATCGCTTAGTTTGTTATTAAAGATCGCTTAGTTTGTTGTTAAAGATCGTATAGTTTGTTGTTAAAGATCGTTTAGTTTGTTCTTAAAGATCACTAAGTTTGTTGTTAAAGATCGCTTAGTTTTTTCATAGAGATAGCTTAGTATGTTCTTAAAGATAATTGATTTTGTTCCTTAAAATCGATTAGTTTGTTCTTAAAGATATTTTTGTTTGTTCCTAAAGAACATTTAGTTTTCTGTTAAAGATCGCTTAGTTTATTCGTATAAATCATTTAGTTTACTATTAAAGCTCATTTTGTTTTGTTCTTAAAGATCATTTAGTTCGTTAAAAATCGTTTAGTTTGTTCTTTAAGATCGTTTATTTTGTTATTAAAGATCGCTTAGATTGTTCTTAAAGATCGCTTAGTTTGTTTTAAAGATAGTTTAGTTTGTTCTTAAATGTCGCTTACTTTGTTGTTAAATATCGTTTAATTTATTCTCAAAGATCGCTTAATTTGTTCTTAAATGTCGCTTAGTTTGTTGTTAAATATCGCTTTCGCTGAGTATTAAATGACCGAATTCCTGAGTCACTTTCGGCCGGATGGCCGAAAGTCTAAGTCAATTTTGGCCGAAACCGAAGAAAAACCGAAAGTTAACTTTTCTCTTTCGGCCGAAACCGAAATTAAACCGAAAGTCAACTTTTCAGTTTTGGCCGAAACCGAAACTTGGCCGAAAGTGATAAAATGGCCACTTTCGGCGCCGAAACCGAAGCCGAAATTCGGTCGGCCTCTAAACTGAATGGGACACGGCACTCATAATCCCAATCCACAAAAAGGTATCTAAGTTGATATGCTCAAACTATAGAGGTATCTCCCTTCTTAATGTAATGTACAAAATCCTCACAAAACTTATAGCGAGAAAATTGGAAAAGTATAGTGAACAGATCCTAGGGGACTATCAATGTGGATTCCGGCAGAATAGGTCAACCACGGATCATATTTTTACTATAAGATGTCTCCTGGAGAAATGCTACGAATATAACATCGACATACACCAACTATATGTGGATTACAAAACAGCAACGACCATCAGGAACCTTATATAGCCAACCATTGCAGTACCTGGCATATGCAGATGATATAGCACTACTGGGTAGAAACAGTAATGACATAATTAAAGCATTCAGGGAACTTGAAAATGCCTCATTCAAAGCTGGCCTTGATATAAATGAACCGAAGACAAAATATATGATAAGGTCAAGAAACTCCCATGCTGATAATAACATCAATATAAACAACCACAAATTTGAGAGAGTGGCCACATTCAAATATCTAGGGGCAACTATAAATGAGCACAATGAGATAATGTCAGAGGTGAAAGAAAGGATAACAGCAGGCCTATTTCAGTCTACAAAAGCTACTGGGAAACAAAAACCTATCAAGGAGAACAAAGAAGACAATATACACCACAATAGAAAAGCAGAGAACCTGCTCAACACGTGGGAGAGGAAAATCCTCCGCAAAATATACGGACCAGTGATAGAAAATGATATCTGGAGAATACGTACAAACCAAGAACTTTACTATTTGTACAAAGAACCACCCATAGTCACAATGATAAAAAAAGGCAGAATACGCTGGGCAGGTCATGTTGAAAGGATGCCGGAATGCAGAGCAGCCAAAATTATGTACAGGCAGAAGCCTAGGGGCAGACGACTCATCGGTCGCCCAAGGATGAGGTGGATTGATGATTTGGAGACAGATTTACACCAGCTGGGGGTTCGAGCATGGAGACAGAAAGCCATGGATTGCTCCGAATGGAAGGGTGTGGTGGAGCAGGCCAGGGCCCAACATGGGCTGTAGTGCCATTGATGATGATGATGATAAAAATATAGATATACAACACTTTTTACTCTCTAATTAAGAAAGTAAATTCTGTGCTTTAAAAAAAAAAAATCTTTAAACCCTAGGTGCTGTTTTTACAAAATGTTTATAGTTCTGGAACCAGTCTACTACATCATTAGGAGGCTAGAATCCGCAATCATAAATTCACAAATATGCAAGAAAAGAAACATGATACGAGCTACTGGGAATTTTGTGTTGAAAATATGAAGATTTAAATTTTTTAAATGGAAATATACTGAAGAAATGTTAACTGTCATTTTAAATAGAAAAATTGATAAATACTTAAAAAATTGAAATTATTTCATTTGTAAACTTACAATGATAAAAAGATACATTGTGCATTCTATCCACCTTCTTACCTTAAGTGTACCGCAAGTTGGAGACTTTGACAGGGATTTATTGTTGTTGGAGTTGGCACTTGCTGGCGAACTTTTATTAGGACTGAGTTGACTCTTAACTTTTGATGAGAGTTTGCTGGACAAACTTCCTAGTTAGGGAGAAATCCAAATTAAACATTTAAAAAATTGGAAAAAATGAAAATATTTGTTACTTTACACTTTTTATAAAATAATCAAGTATTGAAAAATACAACACAAAACATTAGCCCCATCTGATTATTTTTTAAAGAAGATTTTGAATGCAGTAATACATAGAAAAGAGTTTACTTAAATTTGCTGACGTTGGGGATATTAATTGATAAACTTTAATATTTCAAATATTTTTCATATCTTTACCACTATCCTCATTTTCACTAAAAAAGGTTGTACATTTTATTATTAGGAAGCTTTATTCACAGCCTTTTTAAACAAAATAGTCATAAGTTATATAATTGTTTTAAAATATTTCTATTATCATGTTTTAAACTAGTAATATTATCATGTTTTGAAATAGTTATTTTATCATGTTTTAAAATAGTTATATCATTATGTTTTAAAACTAAATTTACAAGCAAGTATGCTTAATGAAGCTAACAAAAAAAATTAATGGCTAAACTTTGACGTCGCAACAATCAATATTAGTTAAAATGAAAATATTCCCAAAGTGAAAAAAATTGAATTGAGTCAGACATCAAAAATTGAAAATATAATCACCGGACTCAATGGCACCATCATGTTTCTCTTCTTTAGTCTCGGACTGTTTCACCTGTTCATAAAATAAATCAACTCTTTAAGGTACAGTTATATCCATGGATGCAAAAAAAGTGTATCCATTGACACAAACAGCATATCTATGATCCAAACAAAATAAATTTGTTTATTCAAAGAAACTAACTCTATTTATTCAAACAAAGTCAATCCATTTAGCAAATCAATTTCATCTATTGATCCAAGCAAAGTTTAGCTTGAAAATCATTTTTCTATTTTATCACTATAAATATAAAGTTACATTTAAAAAAAATAATAATTTAATTACATTTCAAATAATTTAATTACATTTCAAATAATTTAATTACATTTCAGTACAGTCTTAAAGTAACTTAAATTTAAGTTAAAAATATTATTATAATTACTGGGTAATTTCTCTAACACTTGATCAGAATTTTTTTTTTATTCAAGTTTTAAGTTTTGAAATATTGTTTTGTTATTTCACAGGATTTCATGTTTTAATTTCCCCTGATATTACAAAAAATAATGTCATAATTAACAATAATTTTTTCAAAAATGATGAAGAACATCTAGTGCATAATGTGTAAAAACCTTTTTGACATTTGGTCCATCCAACTGATCCAGAGTCTTTTGAAAATCTTCATCATCATGCATTTCCTCATCGAATGTCAGATCAACATCAACAACATCCACCTTTGAACACAGGATAATAAAATTAACAAAAAGCAGTTCTGAACGAAAGCTTGGGGTATTTCTTAGACAGACAAAAATTATGAAACATATAAATATATGATTAAAAATAGTAAAAAAAGACAAATGAAAAGAAAATTTTGCTAAACAATTGAAATGGGGAAGGAGAGACAGGGAGAAAGGGGGGAGGGAAGAGAAAATCCAAGTAGCTAGCTACCTATGACATGGCATTAAAGATATAACAAGAAATGCTTGCAACCATTTCTTTCCACTTAAATAAATAAACAAAATCTGGCTTATTTGTTTACTGGGTTCACTAAAATTTTTTACCTTTTGTTTCAAAAGAGTCATGTACTGTTGGACTGAAGAAAATTTCAATGATGAGGTAAAGAAAAAAAATCCAAAGACGTGAGCCAACTTGGCAGCAAAGGAATAAAAATCTAATGTCTCTGTAAACCTTACACAAACAAATTGTAATAATATTGTTCCTTCTTTGCATGTGAAGATAAACAAGGCCCCAAGCCTTGACTTGACCTGTATCATGTTTTAAGTGAGGGAGAGTTGCTCAATTCGTCAGCCTATTTGTTTCAATGGCAAGACTTGGTCAATATGACTGGAAATAGACCAGGATGCAGTGGATGACCAGCAGCTTTTCTTGTGTCTCACTGTATTCTTATGCGTTTCACATCGCAGGAGTTTTCATTTTGTCAATGTCATAGCACCTGCAGGACTCCATGTCCGGGTTTAATTTCACAATTTGCCTTCTCTTAAATGAGTTGCCATCCAAGGTTAATGAGTCCCATCTACCCGGGGTGCTGGTGTTGTTTTTGCGTTTGTTTGTCTAGATAGGGAATTGAACTCCAGCCCACAAGCTTGAGATTGACTCAGTTCAAACCCAGACCCTAGTATTATGATAGATGTCCAAGGAACAGGCTAAAAAAAGCCTCCTTTACTTCCTCACGTTAGCAGAGCCTGTACCAAAGAAATCAGACAAGTTCAATAGCTTCAAAGCCTCAACACTGGTTTTCTTGGTCTTCTCTTCCTGGTCTCAAATAGTATAATGACAGATTTCAAAGGAACACACTAAAAAATACCTCTTTTACTTCCTCATGCTTTCGTTTCCCCACAGCTGTGACTCTGTCACTTCTGCTAGCAGAGCTGGTACCAAAGAAATCAGACACATTCACTGGCTTTAAAGTCTCAACATTGGTTTTCTTGTTCTTTACTTCCTTTGCTGGAGGCTTGTGAATAACAAACTTGTCAAGTGCTGTGACTGGCTTCTCTCCATCTGGAACAGGAGGGACACAATTGTTAGCAGCTTTTAACCACCATATTTTACCATTTAATGAGATTTTAATGGATCATAATTGGCATTTACAAATGGAAAAGATTTGGCATTTATAAGTGGAAGTGGAAAATTCTTTGTGGGCCCTACATGGGGTTTGTTGGATAAAGATAGACTTATATAGAGATAGTACTAAATTTTGAGGCTGTGTCTTTTTAACACCACCAATGAAAAATGTTTTAATTATATAACAAAGACTTACAATTGAACATAAAAAACTGTTCATCTAGTACCATCAAATAGTGTTCATTAACATCCCCAATCACTTTTCCTTTTTATAAAGCTTTAAGATTTGTTTGTTGATTAATTCCTGTCACCTTTTTTTAAAATTTATATACTGACAAAATTTTCTATCTGTTAAATTCTTCAGGAAAGGTCTGTAAACCCAATCCAGTGCAATCTATGTAGAAGGGCTCTAACAGAAATCCACACTAAATGAGTTTGGTCATACATTAAAATAAAAACAATTTTTTGAGTCTTCTATACCAAACACAATGGCAATATCACAAAATATTATCCTTAATGTAATACTTGCCTGAATCCTCAACATAAGTTACTACATCTTTCTTCTTCCTCTTGGCTTTAGGTTTTTCTTTGTGTAGTGGGTCTTCTTCTGAGTCTGCAAATAGTCATGTGAAATAATGCTAAAAAATGATGATTATGTTGTTTTTATTATGTTGTCTTTGTATACATCAGATATTATTATTATGAGTGGTTTTATATAGTGTGGTACCCCAGCCTAGGGCTGGGCTCACCATGCTGCACATACAATTTAACAAATATAATCAACTTAAAAAATTAATTAACATGCATTACTCAAATAAAACAAAAACCAACATGTATACACTTCACTCATTCCAGAACTATTTACATGTCGAGCCATGGACGGCACCCACCAGCATCATTTATTGGTCACGGGGGGGGGGGGGGGGGGGGGTTTTTTTTTTACCTAAGGAAAATTGTTATCGTTTAGGTTGTGGGGTGCGACGTGTGGAATCATATTCCCAGAGATAACTTGCCAAATAATTGTTAATCATCTTTTATAGAAACTGACAGTCCGGTTTACTTAATGATATTATTTTGAAATGCCTCATCAGTGGCTCAAATGCTTATAAGTTAGAAATTACCTGGTAAATATCAATTTATTTTTGTTGGTTACAAATACAATGCTTAAAACTAGGTATCTCAAGTACAGCTTTCAAAACAGTGTAAAGAAGATTAATTTTATGAAAAAAAATAAATAAATAAGGAACGTTCATATTAAAAGCCTACATCAGCTGTTTTTTTTTTTAAATTAAATATTTTTTATTACATCTTTGTACTTAATTCTGGTTACAGGAGAATGACATTTTAACATAAAAGAACCATTTATAATATTTATTTTGCATTATTTTTTAGATTAATTTTATTCATCATCACGTACATTTGAGGTCCATGAACTGCAACATAATGCACATTTGAGGTCATTGAACTCCAACATAAGCACATTTGAGGTCAATGAGTTATAACGAGTAAAGTACATTTGAGGCCAATGAACTGCAATGATTGGGAAAACTTTTATTCATAATAATTTTCAAAACCCCTTTCTTTACCTGAATCTAAAATTCTAGACATCTTTTTGCCTGACTTGGTGCTACTACTTCTGCCCCGTTTCCTTCTTGTGGCAATAACTTCCTCTGACTCTGTGATATCACTGCCTATTTCTGGCTTGAAGTTGTCTTCTTCATCATCGCTTGATATCTGAGAAGTTGTAATAGTTAGAAGTACAATGAGGAGGTTGCTATGAAACCATTTCAGGTTCAGCCTCCATATAGGAACCATTTTTGTTTGTACTATTTGAGAGAATGCCTGACAGAATGAAGAAACATGTTTTATTTTTCATTTGTTTCTAATTAGGGGTAGCCAAACTGGTCCCTTTTACCAAAACTGGTATTTTCGATATTTACGTTTACGAATACCAGAATCCTGATACTTTCGATTTTGTCAATATTTAGAGAATTCTGTGTCGAGATTAGAGGTGATGATTTATTAATGAAATAAAAACATAAAAAAATAAATAGGAATTTGATTTTTTAATGAGCTTTTAACGACAACACAAATGTTTTAAGTATCTTGCTACATCTAATGCATTTAGCTGAGAGATTGTCCATAGCTTTCTTATTCTTCTTCTTATATTTGAGGAGCCCACGATCAATTTGTTGATTATTCTGGCTCCTGGTTTAAATTCGGAGTTTGCCTTCTCTTAGCGAGTCCCATCCACCAAGGGTGCTTGGGATGTTGGCTTTGGTGGGGATTGAACTCCAGACCACCAGCTATTTGGTTTGAAACAGTTTAGACCGCTCGGCCACCCAGCACCCTTTCGAATTCCAAAAAATAATAACAAAATCATGTCTTTGTTTCCGATATTTTCTTATTCTTTTCATATTTAGTTGTTTTTTTTTCAAGGTCCTTATTTCTATCTATCAACCTGGAGGGAAATTAAATCATTATAACAATAAATCTTAATTGACAAAAATTTATTTATTGTATTTATTTAAATCGAATTGTTTTGATGTGTACAAATTTTTTTTAAATGTTTAAATTTTCAGGTAAATGTTTGGCTAGGTAAGGGACAGACAAAATGGGACATTCAGTCTGGGACAAAGTAGTCCTAGTATTGATATATATCAATACTGGGACATTCAGTCTGTGACAAAGTAGCCCTCGGATTGATATATATAAAAAAGAACATAATTATAAGGTGAATTATTAATATTTTTATCACAAAATAAAAGTAACATAATTTTTCTGTGACTTAAACTTAAGATATTTGATTATCAAAATACAGATTTAGTCATAGTTTTAAATATGTAGATACTTTGGTATAATTAAAGGAAATCAAGCAATCAAACAATTTTGTTATAAAAAGTTAACCCGTGATTCCAGTGCAACGTATTATTATTTCCATACAATTCATGTTACGTACAAACTGTTAATGTCAGTCAACATTCTATCTACATTCGACAATACCAATTATTTGTCAATAACATAATACATTTACTTACCAATCCTGTATGTTCACTTTGCAACTTACGTCTCCTCGTACACACGCACGATGTAAAAACAAAAATAATCATAAAGCCATGCTTCTTAATTAACAAATGAATCACAGTTGACATATCTAGCCCATCAGACGGCTCTCTTTGAACTTCATACACGTGATGGGGATCACATAAATTATTGACATGTCTTACTTTAACAACTATATGGAAACTAATAAAAGCGATAATTATTTTTTGAAAATGAAATCCCGGGAATTAAAAAAATCCTGGTTTCCAGAAATCCAATCCTGGTATTTTTAAGCATCAGTTTTGGTCCAGTATCCAGGTATTTTCAAAACTCGAGATCCCAGTTTGCAACCCCTATTTCTAATATGGTCTAATATAGAAAATCCCACATATTTTTTATGAAAAGTACCTGTTTGTGCTTCCGGCTAGTTTTTTCTTCCTGTTTTGAGTGAGTAATTTTTTTCCTGGGACTCTCTCTGACTTCAGTGTCCTGTTTATCATCATTCTGAACTTTGTTCTTTTTGACATTACCATTCTTAATTTTCTCTGTCTCTCTACCAGTTGTCCTGTTCTGAGAATTTGTTAAAGAGTTTTTTGAATCTGTAGATGTCACACTTTCAATTTCTATTACATCATCCTCAAAGTTCAAATTGCTTGCAACACTTTTTTTTCTCTGATCCAGTTTTCCTGCTACTTTTTCACATCTGGTGTCATCTTCATTACTTTTATTTTTCTCTTGAACTTTCTTTGGGCTGTTTTTCTTAGTTTTACTGATTTTAGGCAAGGATCCATTTATTTTTGTTTTCTCTTTTAATGAATCTTGAGAATTTTTTATAACATCCTCATCCGAAGGATTATCAACTATTTCAACATCATCATCACTTTCAAAATTATACTTCTTTCGGGGTGATGTCCTTTGCCTTTGTTTTTTATTGTTTTGTACTGGTGGTGTCTTACTTTTTTTTTGGGTGACAGTTGCAGGACTTTTTAGGGGCTTTCCACCCATGGTTTTGGTTTCTTCATTTTTATTTGTAGTGCTTGGCTCCTTCACTGAAGCAGTTCCTGGTTTCTTGCTGGCTGAGGGTGGACCAAAAAATTTTCTGATATCCTGCAAAGAAAGTTAAAAAAAAATGATGTCAACAAACACCAAGAAAAGTAAATAAAACGGTTGCCCAACATAACCCATCACAATCTGACTGTACCAGGAATTAGGCCTACTTAAGCTAATTAATATTCAATATGGCTACCCATTGGACTGATCGGGCAATGGTTAAAGAATACGCATCTAATCTGTGCCTTGCCATTTAAGTTTAAAACATCTGAGGAAAGTGAATTTCTTTAAATTTAGTTACGACCTTTTGTAAATTATATGACCATAAGTTGGAAAGTGGATGTTGATTAAGTGAGATTTCTGTGCTTTTTTTAAATTATATAAATCGTTGACAAACTTGGCAATTAATTTGTGGTATAGTTTATATATTGTAAAATCTAAATCACTTATTTAAAAAAGTACTGATCATCTAAAAACTGTATGAGAGCTTGAGTAATGCGACTAAAAATTTAAGGCAACCACATTTTGCACTCCATCTACCGGAAGTGGTATAGCTCTAAGGTAAACAGTTATTATTAATAGAAATGTTTATCAAACCACTTGATAAATGTTTCCTGTATTATAACTTAGTAGTTTGATTATAAATATACACTTTTAATAACTGATTTTTAATAATAGTTTTACTTTGAGGCAAATATAGTCCACATATAATAATATGCTTTGGATCCATAATACATAAAAGCTAAGACTAGACTATATGGCACGGCAATATGAAAAGATAGATTAAGATGGTCAATAGTCCTAAGTTTTTAACATGTATAAAGTTATAAATGTACCTGGTACATAAACTAAAGAGCATTGCGTGGCCTGTTTAAAATTATTGAAGTCATTTTTATATGTATTCCTTATAAGAAGTCCTAATCTTTTATTCATGTTCATTTTTCATGATCGGTCTCTTTGGAAAACCTGTACTGGACCCTGGATGACTAAATTTTACAATAACTCTAAAAGTTTTAAGCATTTGGAGATTATTTTTATTTTGTCTACTTTAGGTCTACTTTATGGTGATTTTTGTTTAAAAAGACAACAAATGATTAGGGCATTAGGTCATTAACTTAAGAATTTTCCTTTCTGTTTTTAATCATTAGATTTCACACATGAGGATGTGCATTGCCAACCTGGAGGAGATCAACAAACAACCCAATTTGATATAGACAATGGAGGTAGATTTTTTCATCTACCAATTGATGAAGATGAAGTGTTGCTGGGGCTCCGGAGCCAGAACCATGAACCATGTCCAAGATTTTTTGAGACAGTTGCTGTAATGTCTAAAGGTTTTGTATCAGTCTTAAAATACGGTAGCTTAAATATTTTTACTTTCAGCTGGACAAGGACACCATCTGTTGCTGTGGATAGCTATGCTGCATTTGTTGTTTTTAAGTTTTGTATTTAAATGTACCAGTAAAAGAAAATCAACAGTTTTGTTCAATAACTTTGATATAAAATGTTATGAAGTATGTGTTTTGCGTTTTAAAACTTTATTAATTTTAGATTGTCTATTTGTACTGAAAATTTAATTGAATTAGCATCATTTGCTTAAGCTGATCATTTAAAAAAATGTACCCAGTACATAAATGTCCACATTACATAACATTTTAAAATTTTGGATAGCATGATTTTAATTTGCTTTGTAATATTTGAATGTTATATTACATTTGGATTGTCACTATCTGTACTGAAAATTTTATTGCAGTAGCTTTATTAGCTTAGAAGTTATGTATTTAAATGTATAAATGTCTCGGCCAGGGTCACTTTTCGGGAATTTTTTTTCTAATATTGCATAAATTGTTTGATCTGCATTTTATTTAATTTAAAATTCATCTTATTTTTAGATGCACATTATCTCTTTGTACTGAAAATTTTAAAGCAATAGCTTATTTGGTTTAATAATTATGTCATTTTTATTTAATTAATTAATTTTTTAAAAATATATTATTATTTGTGTCCTACATTATTCTACAGTGCAAAAAGTGGAAGCCTACTTAATTTCAGTATTACCTGCTGATGTGGAAATTCAACGTCTGATATTTAACACCGCATAAACCGACTATTCAAGAAAGCTAGGAACATAACACAAACTAAACATTCTTCACTTGAAGAACTATTTGAAGAAAGATGTTTTTGTAAAACTAAACACATTTTGGATAATACAGACCTGTTTACCCTCAAACTCTTAAAATCGTACAATATCATCACAAAATCGTTCAATACCTTATATTTAGAGTAAAAAATAAGCATACAGTATATATATTTAAACCTCAAAATCGTACATTGTACGCCAAAATCGTAAGAGTAAACAGGTCTGATAATACATCCCACCCTCTTCATCACAGATACTTAGGATCGGGCCGTTTGGGACAAAATCACAGATACTTAGGATCGGGCCGTTTGGGACAAATTCTTTCCATCAGGGTGAGGACTGAAAGATATAAAAATTCTTTTGTTCCCCAATCTGTACGAATTTATCAGCGTGCTCCCTCTGTAGTCACACATCTTATTGAGAACTAATAAGTCCCCAATTTGGCTAATAGGACTCACTGAATGGCTGTTTGAAATAATTTATTATAAATTTCTTGTGTTCAAATTGTTTTATTTATGTGCCGAAAATGTATAATGCAATCATAAAACATTTCCATTTGTTTGGATGAATAAAAGAATCTTATCTTATCTTATTTACATTTATTTTTTTACCAACAATTGTGGTTATCGACACCATATGCTCATAAAATCATATTTTATGAAATATAATAAATTAATTTACAATTCATGTGTTTTGTTTCTGTTAACCATTAAAGTGTAAACGTCTCCTCCAAATTTGAGTGCTCTAACTTAAATGGCAAAAAAGATACAAACAAAATAGTAGAAAAAGAGGGTAATTCAATCACAGTTTTTAGAATTTTAATTACAAAGCTAAATAGTGGGGAAAAATAAATCACTAAAAAATTCAAAACTTTTCTTCAATAAGTTGTAAGTGATAGAAAGATTATCTTGGTGTCATTGCATTGGATAATTTAATAAAGCCAGCTCTTTTCAATTATATTTTCTTTGTGTGTCAGATATATTTGAAAATTTGAGTTGGAGTGCCAATAGGCTGGATTTCCAGTGTAAATTACATAATTTACTATAGAAATGACCATTTTTGATAGGCAGTGTCTACAAGTCCGGCGACCAGACAAATAGTGCGAGAGATATTCATCCGGCGGGTGTGTCAAGCTTTATTTAAAATTATCAAATTTTAACCATTTGTTCATTATATATACCAGCAATGGTTCTAGTATTTCTTTAGTAGAATTCCTAAAATCCTCCAAATTCCGGTCCCAAATTATTTCGTATGAAAAAAATTGCAATGCACAGTGTGTATTGTTAGAAAACAGCAGAAATGTCAGTCATAGCTTTCGCAAATAACTGTCACTTTACAAACCAGTCAGTAAATACTAAATGTTGTCATTGACACATAGCATTTGCAAATAGCAGCCGAAAACGTTATGCTGGTGACTGTTGCGGCACTGAAAGGCCCCCAAGTAGCTGGCAAACAGATCGCGACTAGCAGGCCTACCACTCTGATAGCGGCGTTTACGTTTTGCTTGCATCCAAAGTCCTTCAATAGTTTCTGTGTGAATGTCCTGGTCTACTGGATCAACAAATTCATGCGTGAGCACAATGACAGCGTGAGCATAAATCCCGTTGTTGAGCTGACCGACATTTTGATATCCTCGCCAAGCGTCCGAAACAATAGTTGTCCCTGGTAACACATGATTAGTGATAATGTGCTCGAGTGTTTGTGCATCTCGACGGCCGACAACCTCCATCCAACATCGTCCACTAATGCAAACATGAATTTCAAAACAGAATGATGCCCAAGACTTTTAAGTAAGGATTAATCATTGTAAATAATTTGGGACCGGACTTTGGAGGACTGCTTGTATTTCTTTTTCATGTAAATTTCCAGACTATCTTGAATTTTAAAAAATGAAAAATGATGTACTGTAAACTCTGATAGACTATTAGCGGCCACATTCACATGGCAAGGCTGACAAATATCTAGCGTCATATGACTTGGTCAAATATATAATAGCTGGTCGAATTTCTCGAGAACTTATTCATGAAGTCAACAGACATGTAGACACTTCGTTTTTTATAATAATATTAGGTTATTTTGGGATTGCTAAAAATTCTGGATAATTTTCTTACCACATCACTGGGTTTAAGACAAACATATTAAAAGTTAATTTAAATCTACTAGATTTCTTTATTTTACTTTACACTTTACTGTTTTCTCAACTTTTTCTTTTAGATTTTGCCCTACTCAGCCTAAAGTGTAAACAGCAGACTGAGACTCAGAGGCGTAGCGAGGGCGTTTGGCGCCCGGGGACAAGATCCATTTTAAAGCGCCCCTTTTTCTTTTTTTCAACTCTCAAGCCCATTATTTTGATCAATAAAATAATATCAAACCACATTTTGGCGCCCCTAACTAGCTGGCGCCCGGGGACATCTGTCCCCCTCCCGCCCTCCCCTCGCTACGCCTCTGCTGAGACTGCCCTACGGTCTACCTACCCCCTGGCCCTACCCTGCCTAGTCCTAGCCGTAATTGAAGTCAGCCGTTTCATTTTTAAGAGAAATTTAAAATCTTAGATACAAATGATACAGTAAAACAGTATATATTTTAAAATGTATTTTAAATTACCATAAGTACAAATATATCTTTAAAAATTTGTAATAAAAATACGTTGACTTCAGCGCGCCTTATTTCATTTGTTTACGTTTTAAGAACTTCCGCTTCAGAGTACAGACTTCAGGTCCGAGCTTTAAAAAATAATTTCGTTTTAGTGTTGCGAAATTACTTCATACTCCATCAGAATTTTTTATTTTTTTTTAAATGCTGCCAATTAAAAAACAACAACTGAGTTCAGACATTTTGTTACATTTACTATATCACAACGAAATCTTTTACTCAGTGTTTTAATTGTCGACTAATACTACTAATAATCCAAACCACTAATTTAATTAATTAATTGATTATTAATTGAATTATTTAATTTAGTAGTAGTTATAATGCTTATAATCAGGGCTGCTCAGGGGCAATGGCGTAGCTAGGGTTGGTGTCACCCGGTGCGGTAAACTCATGGTGTCAACCCCCCCCCCCCCAACTTCTATGATCGATTTTACTTGTTAAAATACGTCCACAGTATAGCATCAACCTTGAACTTTTAATAAAGCACGCATTTGGATTGGTTAAATTTGTGAAAAATATATGTGTGATCGGTTATTCTTTTATTAATCTCGATTTTTGCGAGCAATGTGTGCCCTGTAAATATGCAATTTTTCAATCGGGTGTCACCCCTAAAATGGTGTCACCCGGTGCGGTCCGCACCCCCCGCACCTGCCTCGCTACGCCACTGCTCAGGGGAATAATGGCGCCCGGGGCAAATCTTGAAAATGCCGCCCCTCATCAGATATCCATAAAACTGATGCCCGTGCCGTGGCTGAAAAGTCGAAGAAGATTTTGGTGCCCCCTGTTTTCGAGGACATGGATATGGGATTTTATCGTTTCATTCACAATTAATTAAACTTTGACCACTCACTTCCACGAAAAAAAAAAACTCGTCAGTTTGCGGGAAATGCCGCGCCTCCATAAAAAGAAAACAAGTGCCAACCGGACAGACCGCCCCCTCCCCTTTTCACCTCCTTCCTACGCCATTCGCTACTGCCCTTTGATGTTGGCACACGTTTCTGGGGCTAATTGACGGGGATACCTATGTCAGGGGAATCATTGAATGGGCCCCTTTTGTCGTGAGCCATTTTGTCGGGACTGTGTGACGGTGTCCTTTTGACAGGTGCCGATATGTCCAAGCCATTTTTCCCCGCGCCGGTCTGACGGTGCCCCATACCTCTGTGTGACAAATCAAATCTTCTGTGTGAAAATATTGATTATCATTACCCCCGTAGACTCTCAATTACAGCAGAAACTATTAGATCACCTTTTTCTTAGATGTAATTTTGTTAAACGTATTCCTGATTATCCAGCCCCCCCCCCCCCATTAATATCCCTCAAACCTCTCAGCTCCTGCTGAACATGATTACTAAGTACATTGCAGAATTTATCCCATCCCTGACAAGCAGTTTACGTCAAATAAATTGGCAGAACATTTATAAACGCCTTCAAAGTTTCTGGTCCAAGAAATGATACAGTGGCTTTAATTTTACATATTATCTGCTGTTTATCTCTAACAGTTAAATTGATACAATTAAAACGCATCTCAAAAAACTTCCCATTCGTCTTCTTGCGGCACACGAATGTCAAGTCTTAAGAAATGTCCCATCCATCTTCTTGTGACCAACAAACAAGTCTCAAGAAATAGCCCATTCATTTTCTTGTGACCAAAAAATGTCAAGATTTGCTTGACGAGTAACTTTGTGATATCAAGCTACCTGCACAAAATGTACCTCTTATATTTTCTTCTTCATGTCAATCAAAGCAATACTTTCTACATTATTATTATTATAATTTTTTCCCCTGCGGAGCTTACTTCTGGCTCCAGAGGTGTCCCAGTGTTTAAGCCAATGTAGGTGCTACCCTTGTGTTTGTTACTTTTGGGCTTTGTTTCAACTAGTTTTGTTAGAGCTTCATATTCATAAATGTGAGGACCGGTGTATTTGGTTCGGGGAAAGGGGTTTGGTGAGGTTCAGGTGGTTTTTTTTTGGGGACAGGGGAATGAGATAGAAGAGAGTAGAGGTGGGGGCCTGGTAGAAGGTAATGATGGTCACAGGTCTGTTAGTTGAATGATACATATTTAATGATAATTCAATTACCGATATTGGTAATTAGTTCTTACAATGGTAAACTTTCCATTATAAAACATAACGACTATTATAATGACTTAACACAACATATTAACATTACATTATTAGCTAAAATCTGATCAATTTTTTTTAAACCACTCCAAAGACTTAAAGCAATCTTCATTGTTACACTTGGGCACCTCTGTGATGCATAAGCTTGGGCACCTCTGTGATGCTAATTCTTTGAAAATGTCTAAGAAGCCCTTGTTTCTTAAAACAAATCACTTGTGTGGCCTCATAAAACCACTCTTTAAGCAGTAATCCCAATATATATTGTGTGAGTCCCCACCGCATACTTGGGTGACCTCAAACCCCACTCTTTCAAAGCTAGTACCAACAAATAATAAAAACTAAATGAATAATGTTCAACAAACTGGACATCTTTGAATATTAATTTTATTTTCAAAACTGCATGATTTCCATTTACTAACTTTCTAATTTAAAAATGGTAAGTGGAAATGACATATTAAAAAAAAATTAATAATCACATAATAAGGCTAAGATATTAGACTGCATCCTGTTGCTGTAGGATAATGCTTAAGTTATGTAGAAGTAAAGGTAAGGTATGGTCAAATTCCATAAAGGGTCATGGACCAGTCTCATTTTGGGTCATGGACCATACTCATGTAGGGTCATTGGACCAAGCCCATGCAGGGTTACTGAATAAACATAGCCATAAAAGTCAACTCTATCATATACATATTTAATTTTTTTAAAGACAGAAAATACAAAATACTGATGGGGTTGGAGTCATTAAATATTCACCAGTTAGTGGCTAAAGTACTCTCTTAATACAGAATCACATAATATACACACAGCTTGCTCAAGAAGCCACAAGGAAATAATTACTATTACTATTGTTAGACAAAATGAAAAACATTTCTGTAAAAATAATATTTTCTGATCTTTAAAAACTAAAAAAAAAATGAAATTATTATTATGCATGGTTAATCACTGCCCTTGATAGTTTTTCCAATTTTAATTTTTAACTCACTAAACAATCTCTGCAGATAAAAATATAAATATAAGGTTATAAATGTGACAGCAAGATAGTTTTAGAAAAATATATTTGAAATATGCATTTTGTGGTCCTGAAATGACATCCTCATCCAGCTATGGACTATAAAATGAAGTGAATCCAGTTTTAAAATTTGAAATATTTTACAAATGAAAGGGAGCAGTTCTGGATTTCTCCTTTGCATGAATTGTTTAAAATGAAAAAATATTTTATCTTAATGATTTATGATTGGCATCACAAGGGTTCTTGTCACTAAGTTGACATTAATGCGGTTGGTCTGACTAGGGTTGGTGTCACTTGGTGCTGTAACACATGTCTCACATTGGCAGACCACACGATGGTTCAACTACATGACAGTGTGTGTACAAGCCAGACTTTAAGAGAATCAACCCTAACATGTTTCAAATAGATATGGTAGCCATTCGCTTAACTTCTTTGGTCAGCAAACTTTTGGGACAATTGAGAATACATTAGTTTGCTTTTTTAAATATGATTTTCTCCACCCATCAGCTGCAGAGGCGTAGCGAGGGGGGTGCAGGGGGGGGACAGATGTCCCCGGGCGCCAGGTAGTTAGGGGCGTCAAAATGTGCTTTGATATTATTTTATTGATGAAAATAATGGGTTTGAGAGTTGAAAAAAAGAAAAAGGGGGCGCTTTAAAATGGATCTTGTCCCCGGTCGCGAATCTTGTCCCCGGGCGCCAAACACCCTGGCTACGCCGCTGATCAGCTGTGTAATATTCTGCTTAAGTAGGGATTCATAATAATATAGAAATATAGTAAATTAAGTTCAATTAACATTTTCAAAACAGTTTATAACCAATTTTAAAATCAAACTTGCCTTAATTTCAACTCCTACTAAAAATCTTTTTTAGCAGTAAATGCAGAGAAGAACTCCTCTAAAATTCTCACAACCATCTTGAGAGAAATGAAATATTGCAAGCATATTAAGCATTACATTTTTTTACAATGTGATCATTTTCATAAATATAACACACGCAGTAAATATCTTCCCTGAAATTTATCACAATCACTAGATATTATCTCACCCCCCCCCCCCAACCCGAAAAATTTGACCTTGAGCTTTAAGTTGAAGAACACAAACTTTATCCTAAATCTTATGAGGTGCTAAACTTAATTAAACAAGATAGATCTATGTCAAAAATGAATATCTCGCAGTTTGTCCGTGACTCTTTGTGGTCAATTTCATTTTAAACAAATGTGATGGTTTAACAAAAGAAATCCACCTGTGACAGAGTCCATCTTGACAGAGGACTCAATGTGACAGAAGGCCCAACAAGACAGAGGGCCTAATGTGACAGTGGCCTCAATATGTCTGAGGGCCCAAAGTGGCAGAGAGCCCAATGTGACAGAGAGCCCAACCATGTACAGCAGAAAATTGATGATCGGAAATAATTGTGGCCAGCTGTAGTCAGATGACTGAGCACAGAAGCACTGTACTTGTAATATGAATAAAGCTTCAGTGTTTTGTCTCGTGATGTTTGCTACATGCTTTTGTTCTGGAAGGAAGATGCTGTCATCAAGTTAAGTCTTTCCCAAGATGACCTAAATTTAACATTGCTGGGTCACAAAATACAAGCACAGAGGAACCAAACGTCCAGTTAGCTGAGCACTTGGATAACTGATGTCTGGATTTTCAAGTTTTTACTGCATCTGTATACCTTGGAGGAAATTTTCATTAAAAAACGTTTGCAACTTAGATGAAAGAATTTCAACAAAATTTGTAACACTAAAATTCAACGACTTTTTGATTTTTATATCAGCATTCTATCAAAATATTTTTAATTTTTAAATGGATATGTTCCAATTCTCAGTACAACAAATAACAAAGTGGAAGATTCATCACTTCAAACAAGTAAAAATTTTATCAAATGAACATTTTGTTTAAAATCTGAAAATAGAAATACGTTCAAATCTGGTTAACACAATTTTGATAACATGGTTTTTGACAGATGATTTGATTCTAGACTAACAACTTTTCATGATATATTGATGGATTTGCTGAAATAATTCCCTGCCCTCAATAACTAAGAGGTAATTTTTGTATGATGTTTAAATCACATATTTAAATATGCAAATTAAAGTAATAAATCAATAAATTTGAATAAAATATACAATCTATTGAAAAAAGAACTAAAAATTACAGAGACAACTAAGACTATTTTCAGGATTAATTGAAGGAGCCAATTAGCTTTAAAAAAATAAATAAAACCCAGAGATATCCATAGTGTCATAAAAGATTTTAAAATTTAAAAAAAAAAAGTTTTCATAGTGACATTATAGACTCTTTATGAAACAAGCCAACTAATCAATAAATATTGCAAAACTGTCTTGGTCACAGAACCACTGATTTAAGCTGGGAAGATCTCCAGACAACTGTGTGACACTACTTAATCTCCAATCAGAAAAGTAAAGGATCAACAAATTGTACTGTACAAAAAAGTAGAAGGCATAAAATGATAGCAGACAAACTTTTGAAATGAGTCATCAAGTGTTCCTGGTTCACCAACAAATTAGCCAAGCACAAACTCAAGCCACAATCAGTGGGATCCTAGCAGTATATAAAATATGTACAATCCCTTTAAAATCAAATTTTACAACATTAGTCTTTGGCCCTAGCTTTTCACAGCATGATGGGAACGTAAGGGATATTGATATAGTCTTGGCGATGGAACTCTATTTTTAAGTGCAGAGCATGTTTATACACTTTGGTCAGGTCAGGACTAAAAGGCCAGGTTGAAAAAATCACCTGCAAGAATTCTACTGATTGTAAACTTCTCAATAACAATGGGAGACAGATTTTATAAATAATTACACATATCAAATCCAATTTTTTTTTTCTTTTAAAAAATTCAAAGAAAGAGAAACAAACCTCTTGAGGGAATCTATATAATAAATAATAACTAGAGAGACATTGTACAAAAATAATAAAATAATTGGTGACAATAAAATGCTGTATCTATGAAATGAAACAAAATCCGCGCATTTTCAGCTAAGCTGATGTGCCCATCGTCCATGATTCTCCCTAATTTTTCTTTGTCATAAACCTACTTGAACACACCTTCACCTAACTCAACTGTGATGAACTGGTCAACTGTTGCCTCCATACAATAACATGTTTCATTTCTTTATTTTTTTTCTATAGTAGCCTTACCTGCTCTTAAGACCCCTTTCATTTGAAATAGTTCTATACTAATGACAATTAGCAGGTTAAAATTTCATTTAAAGAGTCAGCAATTTTTATCCCTAAATACGAAACATCAATTGTATTTCATGAAAAAAATTTTTTTTATGGCTTAAGTCAAACAAATTGAACGTTACCAGAAGTAATGTAATTCTAACATTCTGTCTGGCAATTGACACAATCTCACATATACAAATAGTTCATACAATGGCTGTAAATTCCTTACACATTAATCCATAATCCCAAATATAAATTAATTAACAGTAAATGGATACACAAATGTACATATTAAGTGTACTCAGAAAAATTTGGCACGCTACTCTTACATTTTCCTCGTTTTCTTCAAGGGAAATTTTTAAAAATGATCTAGAATACTTGACAAAAATATTTTTATGGATGTAAGTCCGTAACAGAAGGCATAGTAAAGTATATTGCAATCATTTCTAAAAAATTTAAAAACACAACAAGCTGAACATTTTCAATGATAAATTAACATTTTCAAAAATAAATAATCCAATCAACACAAACAATGTCAAGGACAACCATGGAGTGATGCAGTTTCAATAAGATTCTTTAAACCGCCAGTGTTCAAGTCCCATTTTTCAACTTTTCGATTAACAACCTTCTTTATTTAAAATTTCTTTTTTTTTTTGTGTTGTTTTTTTTAAAAATCTGAGCTTCCCACGCTGCCCCATGCTTAAAAGTTACAATACTAGAAATATTACTGTGTCAATTGTACAGAGCTTCAAGTCCAATGATAATAATGTTAAGAATTAGCTGAAAGTCTGTTTGCAGTTTGCAACATTCTGTTACCTTACATCTTTTTAAAGCTAAACCCAACATCTTACCATTCTTTCTTTAGAAATCTTGGACTCAAATGTCTTTAAAAATCATTTTCTCAGCTGTCTCCAGAAATCATTCTCAACTGTCATCGGAAATCTTTCTTAAATGTCTTCAGAAATCTGTCTCAACTGTCTAAGGCAGGCCTGCACAACTCAAAATGTAAGTCAGGCTGTAATGCTTTATGAAAAACTTGTGCGGGCTGAAAGATTATAGGACAGGGGAAAGCTATTAAGAAAATAATAATAATAAAGAATATTTGGTTAATTCGTAGGCCCCTATGTGGGTGCTAGCGGGCCGCATGTGGCTCACGGGCCGTATGTTGTGCAGACCTGTTATAAGGAAATCATGATCTCAACTGTCAATATTAATTAATTTTTCTCTTCAAAGTTTGCATATAATATTTATGTTGAATTCAAATTACAGGAGTGAAGATTACATTGTACAACCACATTTAAACAACATTTTTGTGGCCTCTGTAGATAATCATATATATATATATATATAGTGTTTATATAAAAACATTGAGTTCCTATTTAAAAAGAGGAACATTCTTGTGATCCAAAGATAGAGCAAATATGACATTTTACTTCAATACTTAGAAGACTAATTTGAAGTCTATTTTATTTTATTACAAGCAATTCTAATAGATCCTCAAAGACTGGTAGACTCACTATGAAGTCTTTTATTTACTGACAAGCAACTCTACTAATAGATCCTCAAAGACTGGTAGACTCAGTTAAGGCATGAATCACATTTCCATCACAGGGCACTGGACTTAAGTCCTTTGAAAATGCCACACTAGACTCCACCCACTTCTCTGTTGACAACTTGTCCGCCAATGGTATCCGAGAGACAGAAACTTGAAAATCATTGGACAGAGTCTGATAGGTGGATTCTGGGCTGGATAACAATACCAGCTGCTGACTTGACACATGAAGAGGATTCAATTGGTTGCTGATATCTAGGACTGACGTTTGATTTTCCAGGTTGGAAATGGCGGGCTGATCACAGGGGCTGTGTGAACATGTGTGGAACTGACTTGTTGAGCTACCATTGGATGATTTAAGGGACCAGTTTGAGCCTCTGCTTTTATGCAGAGTGGTTTGAGACAGGGGAGGGAAGTCCTCATTGTCCAAGAAAGGCGACTTCTGGTCGGCTGTTGGCGATTTCAACAAATGCCGAGTCGGCCACTGTGCAGAGGACACCGGGGATGGGCATGATAACCTGGCACCTAATGTTTGATGAGACCTCAACTTCAAGGAAGAAGACGGGCTGACATTTGGAGATTTTAGGTGTTTCTTGGTTGAGGAGCCCTGCTGGTCCCTGTTATCACTTGGCAGGATGACTTCATTTGCAGCTGCTGGGCTGGATGATAACCGCTCCAGGGGTTTTTTGGGTTTAAAAGTTCTGACAATGGGGGCATCTAAGGGTGAAGCTAAAGATACAGAGTGAGAAGGCAAACATGATGGGGAGATGAGGAGGGATGCAAACTCGGAGGAATGCCCCCAGGGCTGCGGTATATGATTGCCTCTCTTTGGCCTGCAGTCTAAGCTGCTGGGTTTCAATTTATTTTCTAAAGTGTTTGTCATTGGGGCATAGCTTAAAGTTTTTGGAGGACTATGTCTTTGATGCTGTTTTTTATTGTCCAACCTATCACCCTGTGATGTGAACCCTTGTGATTTCTGATTTGCTGAGCTGCCAGAGACTTTATTGTGGTTGTTGTTTGTTCTATCTGCATCTAAGGTCATGAGATTTGGATTAGCCAAATCCTTGCTGTCATGATTAACCATATCAGGGTTCTCAAACAATGATGAATGACTCTCACAGGACCCAGAGTCCCCTTCCACCGTCGAGTCACTGTTTGGGCTCATCATATCTGAACTCTCTGACTCTGCCTCACATCCACCATGTGCCCCAAGAATTTCCGGGTTGTCTCTGGTGCCTGCCTTCATGATGTCGGCATAGACCTGATCCCCAGGACTGGTTTCCACACCACCTTCACAACTCTCTGTTCTACTGGCCTGACGAGACATTTCACACAGGCTGCTCTCTGTTGCTGAAATGCCTGCATCGCTGGCAACTTCATTTGGCTGTTGCTCCTTTTCATAAAATATCTGAGATGTAAAACAAAAAATAATATGAATTCATGAAATAAGTAGCAACAAGTATTAAAATTTTGGCAACTACAATCTGGGCAAGATGAAGGCATTTTTGGGCTTATATTAACAATACAAAATAACAGTCATTAAAAGCGGATTTTGATCTCCAACCCTCCAAAACAATTTGTATTCCAAATTTCAAACAGGGTCTCTTTCAATCTCTTCACTAGGCCACATTTTGCGCATTATAAGAGGGTCATATGGCTTATCTTGATCTCACCTCTTGCAACTTGTAAGAATTTAAACTTATGAGCAACTTTTTTGCTAAACAGATGACGTTGAGAAAACTTTAAATTAAAAAAAAAAAATTTCTATGAAAATCATGACTGACCTACTATCTGCATTGTTTTTGCACATAATAACCATGCATTTTTAAGTCAGGTAGCCCTCAGGTGGAGACCGAGCACTGTGAGGTTGAAGCTCAGCAACACTAGGCTCTCGGTGGTTTTACATGGGATCTTGCCTCTTCACGGCGTGATGGACCAGTAGGGAGGTTTCCCCCTGAAGCTAAAAGATCCCGACCAAACGCATGATTTCCAACGCAACGGAAGTTGCGCGCTAACATGATTACGTGTCACTGATAATGGATATGAGGCCTGGGTAGAAGCAAACCCTTGCCGAGGATTAAAAACATGCGACCTTGAGAAAGCCGCTCCTAGGTGACCGTTTCGTCCTGAATTAGTCCTGCCCGAACTGCTCCCTGGACGGTGGGGCGGAGGTAACGCAACACCTTTCCCCCGGAGAGGACGCAAAGCTGTTCCGAACCATAGACCGTACAACTCCCTGGACGGTGGGAAGAGTTATGCTCAGGACCTCCCCTGGAGAGGAAGAAAAACCGATCCGCACCTCAGACTGTTCAACTCCCTGGTTGGTGGGGAGAGGTAACGCAACACCATCTGCGGAGAGGAAGCAAAGCCGACCAACCCAACGTCCCGTCCGAATGACTCAATGGGCAAGGGGGGAGGCAACGCAAAGTCTCCTCCTCAATGAGTGGAAGCTATCTGCCCAAACCCGTTACTCGTGACCGTGTTCCATGGCAAGAGACCTTAGGGACTACTAGGCCATGTTTCATGGCCAGGGTCCTAAGAGATTGAATCTCGACCCAAAGAGTATTGCACTTTATGTCAGAGAGAATTAAAGATAAAGAAGAAAAGTTGTGACACAAATATTAATTACACAAAAATGGTATAATTTAAATACCAGTCCCTAAATTTCCCATTTAAAAATGTGCATCTCATGACAACCCAATTCCGCAAAAGAGAAAAACTTATAGAGCGGAAATACATTTTATAAATCAACTATAGTAAGATGCTAAATGTGATGCAACTTTTGGAATCACTGCAACAAATAACCCCAGGAATAGAACAAATAACCACAGGAATACAACAAATAACCACAGGAATACAACAAATAACTCCAGGAATACAAGAAATAACTCCAGGAATACAAGAAATAACTCCAGGAATACAAGAAATAACCCGAGGAATACAACAAATAACCCCAGGAATACAACAAATAACCCCAGGAATTCAAGAAATAACCCCAGGAATACAAGAAATAACCCCAGGAATACAACAAATAACCCCAGGAATACAACAAATAACCCAACGAATATGTCTAACAAGTGAGACTTCAAGGCATTTCTTTTTGTTTGACTGTGGAATTATATTTTAAAACACTGACCCTCTTCTGCTTTAATTTCTCCATGACTTCGGTCACATCTGACAAGTTGGACGGAGCATTCATATCCAACTCCATGAACTGTTCGATCACTTGAGGGGTGTGGGTAATTTTTTTAATCTATGGAGAAGGAAAAAAAGGGGTTGGGGGGAATTTTTATTATAAAACACACACAACTGCTGTTTTTATTAGTGTTATTTCTTGATCACAGACACACAAGATGTTTTACTGCCATATATGGGTCATATCTTGATCACAGACACACAAAATGTCTTACTGCGATATATGGGTCATATCTTGAACACAGACACACAAGATGTCTTACTGCCATATATGGGTCATATCTTGATCACAGACACACAACTGTTGTTATTATTAGTGTTATTTCTTGGTCACAGACACACAATTGTTGTTTTTATTAGTGTTATTTCTTGGTCACAGACACACAACTGTTGTTTTTATTAGTGTTATTTCTTGATCACAGACACACAACTGTAGTTTTTATTAGTGTTATTTCTTGATCACAGACACACAGCTGTTGTTTTTATTAGTGTTATTTCTTGATCACAGACACACAAGATGTCTTACTGCCATATATGGGTCATATCTTGATCACAGACACACAAGATGTCTTACTGCCATATATGGGTCATTTCTTGATCACAGACACACAAGATGTTTTACTGCCATATATGGGTCATTTCTTGATCACAGACACACAAGATGTCATACTGCCATATATGGGTCATATCTTGATCACAGACACACAAGATGTCTTACTGCCATATATGGGTCATATCTTGATCACAGACACACAAGATGTCTTACTGCCATATATGGGTCATATCTTGATCACAGACACACAAGATGTCTTACTGCCATATATGGGTCATATCTCGATCACAGACACACAAGATGTCTTACTGCCATATATGGGTCATATCTTGATCACAGACACACAAGATGTTTTACTGCCATATATGCGTCATTTCTTGATCACAGACACACAAGATGTTTTACTGCCATATATGGGTCATTTCTTGATCACAGACACACAAGATGTCATACTGCCATATATGGGTCATATCTTGATCACAGACACACAAGACGTCTTACTGCCATATATGGGTCATATCTCGATCACAGACACACAAGACGTCTTACTGCAATATATGGGTCATATCTTGATCACAGACACATAAGATGTCTTACTGCAATATATGGGTCATATCTTGATCACAGACACACAAGATGTCTTACTGCCATATATGGGTCATTTCTTGATCACAGACACACAAGATGTCATACTGCCATATATGGGTCATATCTTGATCACAGACACACAAGATGTCTTACTGCCATATATGGGTCATATCTTGATCACAGACACACAAGATGTCTTACTGCCATATATGGGTCATATCTTGATCAGACAGTTGCCTTACTGTTGTTTTTATATTTCTTGATCACAGGCACTTGTCCTCTTTTGTCATAGAGGTCATTTATTAATAACACACAGTGATTTATACACAACTTCCATGCTAAAAGATCTTTTTAGAAAACAAGAATATGACAATAAGAAAATAATAGGTCTATGTAAAAATTATCTTAGGGGTAAAATTCATATTTCAGCAGGAAAATCTGAAAGGAATTTTCCGTATTAAAAAAAATGAACCACAAACTAACCGAAGACTGTTTGCGAGGCCTTTTGTTTTTTTTGCTCATCTTTCTTCCGCAACTGGAATAGTCCATGCCCTCATTGTCTCCCGCTTTCTTGAGAAGGACAAACTGACCATCCTCAATCTCCTCAGCTGGTTCAGGTTCATCTATAACGTAAAATTTGTTTAATTTATTGTTCAGTTCATCTGTCATAAATTTTGTTCATTTTTTGGTCTCTTTCATCATATTTTTTTTTCTTCAATTTTCACACGATCATAAAATGAAAAGAGATGTGAAATAATGTAAAGGATGAAATTTAAATTCACTTCTACAGAGAAAACAAGGACCTTTTGGATGCAACCCATCCACCTAAGGATTATTTCATGGCCCAAAGCCTAAAACTATTTGTATTTTTATAATTATTTTTATTCCCATATTGTCTACTGAGCTCTGACCTTGTTTAAGACTCTGTTAAATTCATGTTGCTTAGTTGTCAACCAATAAGTAAAGCCTGCCAGATTTGACTTAGATCTCACCAATAACTAAGACCTGACAGAATAGACTTTGATCTCACAAATAACTAAGGCCTGACAGATTTGACTTTGATCTCACCAAAAACTATTATTATTATTATTACAGTGGTCTTATATAGTGTGGTAGCTCAGCCTATACCCCAGCCTAGGGCTGGGCTCACCGTGCTTCACATAAAAAGTTTGCAAAAATAAACATGACATTAAAAAACAGTTACATAAATTTATTGATTTAAAAACAGCTTTGTAAAAAAATTGACCTTGCCCACCCCAGAACTATTTACCTGCCTAACCATGGACGGCATCCAGCAACATCGAGCATCGTTTATCGGTCAGAGGGGGATGAGAATGAGCCGGGATAGTAGAGTTTGAAGAGATGTGGGATGAGAATGAGCCGGGATAGTAGAGTTTGAAGAGATGTGGGATGAGAATGAGCCGGGATAGTAGAGTTTGAAGAGATGTGGGATGAGAATGAGCCAGGATAGTAGAGTTTGAAGAGATGTGGGATGAGAATGAGCCGGGATAGTAGAGTTTGAAGAGATGTGCCTTGAGTGCAGATTTGAAGGATGTGGATGTGTAACAGGGGCGCCATTTCAGAAAGGGGGGGGGGGAACCAAAACTTGGTCGGCTTGCTAGGTTGGTTGCTACTGGAAGTGCGACAGTACATAGTAATTAAAATAAAACCTGCAAATTTGGGAAACCAAAACTTGGTCGGCTTGCTAGGTTGGTTGCTACTGGAAGTGCGACAGTACATAGTAATTAAAATAAAACCTGCAAATTTGGGATGGGGGTGGGGGGAGGGGGGTGGGAAGGTGGGGAGCAAATGCCCCACCCTGCCCTGTCTAAATGAAGTCCCTGATGTGTAAATTGGAGAGAATTCCATTGTTTGGGGGCGCAGAAAGAACGTTTACTGTATGTTTTAGTGTGTGTCTGGGGAAAGAATATGCGTCTGCGGAGGAACGAATCTGTCGAACAGGTGAATAGCAGGAACCAGAGTGTTACATCCTTCTTTTCTTGTCTAATACTCCTTCAAATGTTACGGCCTTCCTTTTTAAGTCTAATACCTCAGATGGCGAATACGTTACGTCTAACCTTATGTCAGACCTGTTTCATTACTTCTCGTCTCTCTTTTGGTTAAGTAATTCTAAGACCGAATAATTCATTGTAAATTCTGTATTTATTTCCATGTGTAAAAACAACTCACAAAACACTCTCACGATCAACAACTCCCCCTACCAAACATTCCCAACAATATAGTTCAACACAGAGAAAAAATTTTGACAGAGAACAGACAGCTTGTAATCAATGCATGCTTGTAAAGGGAGCCAATGAAGTGAGTGAAATAGTGGAGGGATGTGATCATGCTTTTTTGCCTTTAGAACTAACCAAGCGGCTGAGTTTAAAACCTTCTGCAGTTTTTTATGAAATGTTTTGGTGAACTTGACAGAGGAGAGTTGCAATAGTCACGACAAGAGAGAAGAAGAGCACAGACTAGGTTTTTTTTTTTGGAGCTAACTTTGAGGTAGTGGCAAATGGAGCCAATATGAAGCATAGCAGTGTAAGCAGAGCGACAGATATAATTATTGAGAGACATGTTGTCAGAAAGAATGTAACCAAGATTGCTAGCAGAAGATGTGAACTGTATGTCAGAGCAACCTATTTGAAAGGAGGTGGAGAGAGCTGAGGTAGAGGATATTTTGTGATTGTGAATAGATGGACCCTTGAGGCACTCCGTACACCAAGTCAGCACTACCAAAGAGACAGCCACCAACAGCGACCGCCTGTATTCTAGCGACCGCCTGTATTCTAGCGACCGCCTGTATTCTAGCGGAGAGGTAGGACCAAAACCAAGCCAAAATTAAACCAGAAATTCAAGGGTTTTTAAAAGGGTTTGATGATAAACGGTATCAAAGGCCGCACTGAGATCTAAGAAGATCAGGATGGAGAAATTACCACTCTCCATTGCGAGCAAGAGGTCATTGCTGACTCTCAAGAGAGCTGTCTCTGTGCTTTGAAAAGGTCTATAGGCCGACTGATTAGGACTGAGAAGAGAGTGATTGTTCAACTAGGCAAAAAGTTGTTTTAGAACTAGTTTTTCAAAGACTTTAGATAAAGTTGATAAATTAGATACAGGTCTATAGTTTTTAAAAATTATTTTAATCAAGACCAGGCTTCTTAAGCAATGGTTTGATGACAGCTGACTTACAAAAAGCCAGACAGGTTTGAACTTTGATCTCACCAATAGCTAAAGCCCAACAGATTTGACTTTGATCTAAATTGAAAGAGCAATAAAAAGTAGAATTCTACTTCATTTATAACTAATTTATCTCTCATTTTGAAGTATTAGTTAGTTGGCACTGCTTGTAAGAGAGTGATTTTCCAGCTGATAAAATGCAACAACAGATGTTAAGAAACACAAGTCAACAAAGAAAAGATCTCATGTCTTGATTACATTCCATTTAAAGTAGAAATTTTTGTAAAAGTTAGCTAAAAGCTGAACTCAGCTCAACTGATCTATTAATTCTGGTTCCTTATGAGCTAATTTCAAAAACAGAAGTTTTTTTTAAAGTGGGTAAAAAGATAGACTTAGCTTTCCCTGGCTGATAAAAATTGACTAGATGTTTTTAAAAGTTGTTGTTTTTGACTGACCTAGGCTTGATGAAGGAGACATGCTGTCAGTTGAAGGTTCCTGCACAAACAAACTAGTGAATCTTGTGAGGTAGTTGATCAGAGTGTTACACAGCTTCAGCTCGCTCTCAAATGGCATCTTCTCTGCTTCTAGATCATCTCTGTAAAAAGGCATGATAAAAATACTTGCAAATTTATGTGAGGATCAACACTTTGACACATGACTCCAAGACTTGACTGTCACGGTGTTAATCTGTCATTTCACTTTTCTTGGGTAGGACTACAGGGTTGGAACAAAGTTCTAGAAAAACCAGTGTTGCCCAAGACTAAACTTGGCACCCAATTACAGCTCTCTGGAATAAGGTTTCACAATTTTTTTCTATAATCTGAACCCCTGGGAATTTTTAAACTAATTTTTGCAACCCTAAAAATGTAACAATGCCTTTTAAAATGAGTTTAAAAAAAGTACTTGTGATCTTTGTTCATTGAAATACTAAGAGAACTGTATAAATAAAAAATATCATAAACAAATGACTTATTGCCAAGAGTAGAATGTCAATAAAGAAAATAAATGATTTATACAAATTTATATCATAAGTTAAAAGTCAGTGGCTAGTATATTCTTATAATCACTTTTCCTCGCTCACCCTAAAGGTGCTCGGCCTTATGACAGTAAGAGTGACTGTTCGACGGACCAGTATTGTTATCATGCTTACTGACTGAACTTAGTGACCTGATTGTCCTGTGTTGCTGTCATGTTGACTGACTAGACTTGGTGAGTGTTTTTCATGAACGTCTAAACTTAAATGTGCGAAGATTGGTTGAATAACTTCAGTGAGTGGTCATGTGATGTGGGGGTCTAAAAACAATGTAAGATGGAGAATACAATTAGTTGTTACACAGACCACAGTCTCGAGTGTTTTCAAACTCCTGATATTGTACAAAATTATAAAAACTACATACGAGAATACCCATTCAAAGTCTTTCATCCCTTGCAACCATAAACAACACAGGCCAATATAAATCTAGGAGATAATAGCTAGCTGGAAAAGATGGTAGATAACATCAACCCAACAGGTGTTTGCGAAAAAGATATGTTTTCAAATAGATTTTGAAAGACTCCAGTGTCTGGCTGTTTCTGAGAGCGACAGGAAGTGTGTTCCAAATTGTTGGGCCAGCAAATGCAAACGTGTGCCTTCCATAAGTCTCAAGGCGAACACCTGGTATCAAGAGTTTGCCACTATCGGATGAGCGGAGTTGTCTAGTGGGTACATAAGGAATCATGAGTGCTTTGAGATAGGATGGTGTCAGGTCATGCAAGCAGCGGTAGCACAGAGTTAACTCATATCAAGATATTCCAAGATAGAAACTTACCATCCAAGGCAGATGATCCCACCCAAGGGAGATGATTCCCAGCCAAGGTAGAAGATAACCATACAAGGTAGATGATTACCATCTAGGTAGAAGATTCCCATCAAAGGTAATAATAATAATGATAATAAAGTTTATTTGAAAATCATGCTTCATCCCCAAAGGCTCGAAGCGGGGTACAAAGTCAGCCACATTAAAAGAAAATGAAAAAAATCTATTATACCACACGCAACATTACAAAAAATAAATACGAGCAAACCCATTCTAATTCTTTCACCTCTTACAAACATAAACAACACAGGCCAATATACATCTAGGAGATAACAGCCAGCTGGAAAAGATGGTAGACGACATTATCCCAGCAGGTGTTTGCAAAATAGATGTGTTTTCAATTCGGTTTTGAAAGACTCCAGTGTCTGGCTGTTTCTGAGAGTGTCAGGAAGTGTGTCCCACATTGTTGGGGCAGCAAATGCAAAAGTCCCCCCTGTAGGTCTCAAGGCGAACACATGGTATCGAGAGTTTGACACTATCGGATGAGTGGAGTTGTCTAGTGGGTACATAAGGCGTCATGAGTGCTTTGAGATAAGATGGCGTCAGGTCATGTAAGCAGCGGTAGCACAGAGTTGCAATTTTGTACTCTATGCGAGCGCGGACCGGCAGCAAGTACAATCTCTCAGAAGTGTTTTAGCATGGTCGAATTTGTGTTTTCAAAGAACAATGCGAGCCGTATTATTCTGTGCTTTTTTAATTTTATCCAGGAGCGTAGCTGGGAGACCCACCATAAGAGCATTGCAGTAGTCCGTGCGTGATAACACAAATGCAGACATCAGTCTATTTGTTGCATCAAACATTAAGAAAGGTCTGATATGACTAATTCTGCACAGCTCTAGAAAAATTGCCTTGCAAAGCATGTTTATGTGATTTTCCATAGTTAGTGTTCTATCCAAGTAGACACCCAGGTTTCGCACTGTTTGAGCAAACTCAATCTGTATACCTGAGAGAGTAAGGGTTTGTGTGTTATTTATATATTTTAGCATTTGAGAGGTAGCAATGAGGATCAGCTCGGTCTTTTCATCGTTCAATTTGAGCTTGTTTATGTTCATCCAGTGCTTAACTGACTTCACTGTCTTCTGTGTCATACTAAGAAGCTGAGGGAACTGAGAGGGGATCACAGACTGCTAAAGTTGGGTATCATCCGCGAACATGTGATATAGCATGTCAAACTGCTTGATCACTGCACCCAGGGGCTGAACGTACATAGTGAAAAGCACCGGGCCAGAAAATTTCCATCCAAGGTAGATTATTTCATTCAAAGGTAGATGACTACCATCCAAGTTAGATGATTACCATCCAAGGTAAATGATTTGCATCCAAAGTAGAAACATTTAACACAGGGACCTCGGTGAAAACCTAAATTTAGCATAGGCGCCAGGAAACTAAAATTTTAGAAGCATCGGCGTGGCCACCAAAACAAATATATGATGGACAAAATATTACTGTAATATCTCTAATGCTTAGTACTATTTGAGCAATATCTAGCAAGTTCATTTTTTAATAACGTACATACTTTCTGCCAAGACCCCACCCCGGCCATATATTTGTGATCACAAAATCTAAAAAATCCATGCCCCCCCCCCCTTCCCCCTCAGTGTGTACATTCAATATGGATGGCACTGGATTGACTAAAACTGTCACTTGAGCGACAATGCAAATATTACTGTTGCTTTGTCTAGTGAGATCACATTCAAAACACACAGCAACACTATGACCACTTTCATTACGAAAATGTGTCGGTGTTAATTTTATAGACTTAAATATTTAGACCAACTTCCCCTAAATCTACACCACTCCATTCCCCTTGCAAGGCAAATGTAATTATAGGTGGTCCCCAACCAATCGTATTGCTCGATCCATTCACTGCTGGATGTAGGATGTAAATGCAAGTTAATACTAACAACCAAAAATTTACTTTTGAATTAATAATTTTTAAATCGGAAAAAAAAAATTTCGGAATGTATATAATTTCAACCCAGTCTCTTAAAATCTTAGTTCTGTTAGGTCTTGGGATACAATTGTAATAGACATCTTAAAATCATACATTGTACTGCAAAATCGTAAGACTAAACAGGTCTGTCCCATTACAAGACTGGGGTTGCTCATTGTGAAACCCTGCTCCAGAAAAAGTGGAATCTATATAAATTTTAACCGACAGATATGAAAAAGCTTTTCATAAACAACTCTCACTTCAAAAGTAAGAGGAGTTTTTTTTTAAAAAAAAAAGGGTTTTGTTGTCAAAATCCTTCTATCTTGAAATTGTACACCTTCGAATGATCTGATATTTGACTCGTCACTACAAAATTCCCCAGTTCTATAAGCTATTTAAATTGAAAGTGTAAAATGAATCCAGATTAAAACAAACTACTCTTCTTTTTTCTTGTCAGCAGCAAATGAGCGCCTGTTTTCATCCCTGGTCCTCCAGCTCTCTCTTCTCATCTTGTCCCTTGAACCCTGGTACTCTTCCTTCTGCCTCCTGAAGTTTCCTGTCAGCTGCCTCTTAAGTTCATACAAGTCATCAATCTCTAGATAGATGGGAAAAACAGAACAGTGACAACGAATAAATAGTGTGAGGATGTGTTTAGGATTTTAAAAAAGATAACAATTGAACAGACGTTTCAGCTAGATGCCTTCCTCTCAGCAGACAATAAAAATACACTACTACAACAAAAGTTCCTTAAATTTGACATTACACAACTATAATCCTTAAAACCGCAGCCAAATTTTTCCATTTTACATTTTGAATGTGTCTTTTCTCACACTTGATCTTGTAGATGGTTTTTTCTAATTCCAACCTAAGATTTTTACCTGTGTTCAATAGTGTACCATTGGTTTGAAACCTTTGTTTATGTCTAGCAAGCGATTCAGTGTTGGACAAAATGAAGCTGAATTTACAGCCTTATTCATCAGTTACAGTTTACAAAAATCTTTATGTCTCATTGCAGTGACCATTCTGCTAAATCTTAATTTCATATTGAAGTGACAGTTACCAAAATCTTTGTTATAGATTGCAGAGACATTTCATAGCAACAGCTCACCAAATAAATTTAGACTAACATTTCTACAACTTCATGACCATACCTTTCTTGAGTGTTGCTGCAGAGTATTTAGCACCAGATGAGTTCAGTTTAAGTTTCTCTTCCATTCCTTTTATACTGCTGACTGCTTTAAAATATGTCTAAAGAAATAGAACAAATAGAAATTATAAATGGTAATAAGTTGCAGTATTTTTTAAATGATAATAAGCAAACATCTTGTATTCAGGATTTTCAACAAATCATTTTTATTGTCTTTTTCTTTGTTCAACAGTCAACTTCATACACAGAATTTATACTTTTTAAGTAAATAATTAAGGCTCATTAAACACTAAGTTTAAGACTAATTTTTAATTTAAAAAGCCATAAATGAAATAAGCCATAATGGGAAAATTTATAACAAGTCCGAAATCAAATTATTGGAAGCTTTGAAATAAATGGCATTCTATAAATGATAATGACAATATTTATTGAAAGAATCTACAGTAACAAGACTTTCAGATATTGACGTCAGGAAATATAAATCCTAATTGACTCAATCTATATGTCAAAAAAAATTATTTTCAATGGTAAATTAGGTTACTTTAAAATTAAAGAATAGCTCTTTGATGAAATGTCAAAAAATTTAATCAACAAACTCTTATATATATATTTTGCTTCTGGTTTGTTATTAAGTACTGAGTGAAAAAAAAGGCAGCGAGCTTCATAGGTACAACATTATCTCTATTCCGGTATCTGGCAACTTTCTGTTCCCATCAGCCATCAGTGGTTTATTTCTTGACACAAATGTTTGATGAAGGCAATGCACTCTCACTTACAGATAAGGAGGTAGATTTCTTTGAGAAGTTAACCCTTTTTTTTTTTGTGTAACACTTGGACCCATCTGAGATTTTCTCAAAATATCCAGACCCGGTGTCAAAAAAGCTGACTTGGTTAAGCCCTAGTTATAATAATAATAAGCAACTAGAAATACTTCGCCTTGTAATGTTTAGGGATGATAAAAATTCTTAAAGTTAAAGATTTATAAAAATAAACTTTGAAACTACAAGTATCAAAATAAAACTTGAACTTAATTCCCCCTCTTTTTATTTGAGTTAATTTCACACCTTTGCTGGTAAAGCCCACTATAATTTTTATCATTTTCAAACAATCGTCATCAGATTCATCCGCTAATTACCACTAAATTCCCAGCGCTTGGGCTCCATGTATTAAGCCCTTGTTTTCATCACAAACTTTCTTGGACGGTGGTTGCTGGATGCTTTGCCCTCAACCCCAATCATGGCTATGGGCAAGCCTACAGCCAGTGCTCTCTTGCTTTTTATAAGCCCCCACCATTTAAATGTCCTATCTCATGCTTTAAGAGGAAATTCAAACCGGACCGTTGAAAGTTTAATCCTATATTATAGAAGAAACAACTCACATCACGTTCTTCCCTCATACGCCTCTGTTTATCTCTGATCCCTGAGATTTCCTGTTTTAATGTCAAGTATTGCCTGATGGGGGAAAAAACATATAGTTATATAGGATCATTTTTTTTCCACTCATGACACTTTTCTATTCATTTCATTTTCAGTTCATCTGTATACCATTTCTTTTATTGCCCGAATTTATGCTTGACCTACTTTGTGTTGAAACATTAGCTGTTGAAACTAACTCGTGTGGATCAAGTGCCTATAAGTTACCTAGGTATAAAATTTTTTAAATTTTATTTTATTTTGTATTGCATTTGTATTCATTTCTATTTTGAGAAGTGTTTCAATAATTCTTTTGATGAATGATAACAATGGGATATTCATAAACTGGTATTTTAGAGGGCACTGGGACAATTTTGTAACCTTTCTCTTCAATAAGTGTCAAATAAGTAAAACAAACTATGTTGTATATTTCACATTTCCATTTTTCTGAAGGCCTAGTAATCAAAATCTAGGCTGTCAGACTATAGTTTCAATATTATATATTACATTTTTTTTCATGCTCTAGAATTTAAATCAGTCCAAGCACAGGCAAAAAATTTAGTGGGCACCTATTGTCATACACGCTAACCTATTGGTATCAAAAACTGAACAAGAGTCCCCAAAAACTGTATAAATGTTCTCCCTTTGCCTGTTCTAAATTAATGAAGGGAAATACATTTTGTCTGTTGTGATAAATTTATTAAGTTACCATCAAGTTAGAGCAGTATTTTTAACAGTACCAGGGGAAACACCCTGTAGATAATTTTTACTTTTTTTTTTATCATAGGTGCTGTGTGGATATTAAGTGTTAATTGGACGTTATAATAAGCCTTACACAAACTGATTTGTAATCATGGTTTCTACTGAAACTAGTTACTAGGAAACAATTCTGCAGCACTATTAATAAATGGTTTCAAGAAAACCTTGCCCAGCTTTTAAGTTTAGATAACCTACCAATCTCAAGACTTAGGACCAAAGCTCATTTTGAACAGACCAATAGGATTTCAGATTCCTGTTGATCAATTTATTGCACTGCCATTTAAGATTTTCAGTCGTGTGTTATGCAAAAATATGTCTTTTCTTAATCCAGTGAAAAAGTGTACACAATCCTGTGTGGCCCGACAACTCAAAAACATTTAAGACCCGTATGAAGTATGGGTAAACTGTGCATGTTTGAATTGGCATGTATGATAGCCTATTGTTTTTATTTTTAAATAATGAGCTACACTCACTGATGAGTCAACTATAAAATATTCAGTATCTTGCTTTCATCATAGTTTTTTGCTAATCCCTTTAATATCCATGTATACACTTATTATAATACAATATACTGATATTAAAAAGCTTAATTTTTGAAGCTTTATCATTCAACCCCTGATAAATCAAATCTGATATTTAGCTATGTGTGCAATATCAAAGTCCAGTATGTATATCAATTTTACCTTTACAGCTGAGACACAGATATAAAGTATTGTATGCTAAGTGCATAAAATAAAATGTAGATGTTTTGAGCCAATCTGATGATAACTTTGTCCATATCCTGTATGTCATCAATTGATACTCCCACCCCAATTTCTATTAAATCACTGACCTCATTTCATTTATATGCGAACTTACGCTAATGTTCTTTTAGATCTTTTGAGCCGATCTATTTCAGTAACAATCTTCCTTTCTTCAAGCAATTTAAAATGTTGACTTTGAAGATTCCACTCTAGCTTTCTGCAAGAAGGAAAAAAAAAAACAAATATATTTTTATATATATAAATTTTTTTTTGGTAACATGTATGTGTGTGTATATTATTATTATTATCATTAGTAGTTTTATATAGCGCTGTATCTCACCACAATGTAAATATAAATTAAAAAATACAATGATGAACTTAAAAATTAAAATACATTAATGAAATCAAACAAAACAAAACTCCAGCCATTCCAGAACTGTTGACATGTCAAGCCATGGACGGCAACCAGCAGCAGCGTTTAGCAGTCAGGGGAGGGGAGGATCAGTCAGGAGAGTAGAGTTGAAAGAGATGGGTTTTGAGTGCAGTTTTGAAGGCTGTGATGGTTGGTATATTGTGGATGTATAGTGGAAGAGAATTCCATTGTTTAGGGGCACAAAAAGGAAAGATCATTCAACTGCTTATACCTTGTGTTCAATGAATGCTACAGGGCTGAAATTTGATACACACCTTAATCTCAAGGAAAACATTTTATTCTATTAAAATTTCATGGATCCCTTATTGACTGGTATCGAAATATATGCAATTACATTTTCAGTTTAAAAAAGAGAAGAATATGGGGACATATCATGCGATAAATTCTGTTTAGTAACATCTAAAATAAGTAGGCCAACTTTTATTCTTGCTCTTTGTTTTTTTTTTATTATTAGATCTTTAAAGAAAATATTTATTTTTTGGTATTCAAGTGAGCTCTAAAAGCTTTGCCTCCATTCAGCTAACTAAAATCTGATTTTGTTAGTGTAGCTTAAGTCACAATTTGTTAACAAGGGTTGTCATCCTTTTCCTTTTCGGGATGAAAATAACAGATTGAAAGTGTTTATTTTGTTGTGAAACAAGCTATATAACATTGCAAAGTTATATAATTTTATTTTTATGTTACTGGCTGATGTTATATAAAAACAGAAAAATTAAGTTAGGCTTACTGTATTGCAGTATTTATCTTGTCTTCACTTTTATAAATCAAGGATGACTCCAACTGACTTAATTGCCTCATCTGAGGTAGAAACAAAGAAAAACCTTTATCAGAAGAAACCTTCAAATATGGCTTTGTATATTGTAAATTTTCAAAATGATAATAAAAGGGGAAGCTCTATAATGATCCAGAATGTGCCTAAAATGGTAACCATCTAAGAATGGCAGCAAAAAGCCAATATAAATAGTAAGAAGTGATTAAGGACACTAGTTAAAGCCGCCGCTGAATCTTAAGTGTAAAAAAGAAAATGTAAGAGCATCAATTGAAATAAATGGTTTGTTGTCTTAACAAAGAGCATAAAGAAATTAAAATGAAAAAAAAAAACATGCTAAAAGTTAACAATTTTAGATATTACTTCATCGTTGAGAAAACCAAAATTTGTTAAAATACCTTCTCTGGTACATCTTTGTTAAGTTTATCCAAATCAGCATCAATCCTCCCTCTCTTTTCAATTGTTGCATTTTTCTCTGCTCTTAGTGCCTTCAGTTCATTGGTAACACTTGGCAGATAATTTTTTTTCTTTTTCAGGTCAAGGATGCAAGATTTCAGATGGTTTTTTTTAAATAATGAAATAGATGATCACCCTGATATAATTAATAAAGGTATCTGACAGAAAAACTTATAAGAGGGAAATTCTTATTAAACTGGGAGCATAAAAGAATAAACTTTGCAATATTCATTTAATAATGACTGTTAGCAATTCCAGCAGACTCCTCTAGCTTAGTGGAATTCAAACGTTTTTTGATCTCTCCCACAGAGTTTGATAAACTTTTTTTAAGACAACCTCACAAGAGGTCATTATTTTTTTCAAGCTGTTTTGGATTGAGAAGTGTTAAAAATATGGAAAATCTTCCATGACTCAATTTTGAGGAACACTGCCTATGACCAACCTCTTCTTCGTTATTTATTTGTGTGTGTGTGTTGGGGTAGGCAAACAGCTTGGGTTGGGGTATCAAAGACAGTGTGTGTTGGGGTTTCATAGACAGTGTGTGTTGGGGTATTATAGATGGTGTGAGGTGGGGTATCATAAAGGCATGTTTTAGGGTATAGACAGTGTGTGTTTGGGTATAATAGACATTGTGTGTTGGGGTATAATAGACATTGAGTGTTGGGGTATCATAGATAGTAGTGTTTGTTGGAGTATCATAGACACTGGGTGCTGCATAGCACAAACTGGGTGTTTGGGTAGCATTGACAGTGGGTGTTTGGGTAGCATAGACAATGGGTGTTCAGGTAACACAGGCAGTGGGTGTTCAGGTAACACAGATATAATAATATGTTTAAATGCTTGTGTGTTTAGGAGGCGAAGAATTTTGTTAACAACTTAAATGACTTTTATTGTTGTTTTGACTGTTTGGACTTTGGAAGTGTACACAATGAGATGATGAATTCATTTAAAGATGGCAGCAGAATACAGAATGATACTTTATTGTTCACCAAACAGGAAGTGATGTCATTATTTAAACAAGTGGGCACAGCCAAGGCCTCGGGGCCAGACAAAGTAAGTGGTCAGCTCGTTAAGCTATGCTCAGAGCAGCTTTCCTACATTTTTTGTTACATATTTAATAAATCTTATGTAACTCACACAATACAAACAATTTGGAAAACTTCAGAAATCATACCAATTCCAAAGAAAAATAAGGTAACTTGCAACAACGACTTACTGCTGCACTTACCTCTATTGTCATGAAATGTTTTGAGAAACTTATTCTGAGTCAAATTTTGAATTAAGGACAGCAAAAACTTGACCACCACCAATTTGTTTACAAACCTTCCGGAAGTAAGGAGGATGCTATCTTACTATTGTTGGAGAGACTTTACCATAACCTAGACAGTCCAAAAAAAATATGCCAAGAGTGCTATTCTTAGACGTCTCATAACCTAGACAGTCCAAAAAAAAATATGCCAAGAGTGCTATTCTTAGACGTCTCATCAGCATTTAACACTATCCAACCACACCTTATGATAAAGAAACTTTCCTCGTTAGGTATAAATTTAAATATTCAAGCTTGGATACTGAACTTTTTAACAAATCGACCACAATATGTCAAGGCTGCGCTCTCTCCCCTGTACTGTATACCATATATACCAATGATATTCAAACCTCAAGCAACGCCGTTCCAATCTTAAAATTTGCTGATGATACCACCATCGTTGGCTTAATATCTGAAGGAGAAGGCTTAAACCGCAACTTAGTTACAAGCTTTATTAATTGGTGCGATGAAAATTTTCTCCAGCTGAATGTCTCAAAAACAAAGGAAATGGTTGTTGATTTCAGGAGGGCGGAACACCAGATTACAGATCTCAACATAAAAAATCAAAATGTAGAGAAAGTAGAGGCATATAAGTACTTAGGTGTCACCATTAATAATAAGCTAACATGGCATGAGCACGGCGCCAAATGCTGTATAAGAAATTCAACCAAAGACCGGTCTACCTCAAAAAACTGTACAATTTCGGCATAGAATAAACAAGTGGTTAACTTATTCTACAGTGCAACAATTGGAAGCCTACTTAATTTCACTATTACCTGCTGGTGTGGGAATTCAACTTCTGATATTAAACACAGCATAAACCGACAAATCAAGAAAGCTAGGAACATGACACAAACTAAACATCCTTCACTGGAAGAACTATTTGAAGAAAGATGTTATTGTAAAACTAAACACATCTTGGATGATATATAATAATAATATAGTTTATTTGAAAAACACGCTTCATCCCCAAAAGCTCGAAGCACGGTACAAAGTCAACCATACTAAAAAGAGAAATAAAAAACAATCTAAAATTTACCACATTTAAAAACAGACGCAACAATATAAAGCTACATACGAGCATACCCAGTCAAAGTCTTTCATCCCGTTTCAACCATAAGCAACACAAGCCAATATACATTAACTGAAAAAGATGGTAGATAGCATCACCCCAGGAGGTGTTTGCAAAATAGATGTGTTTTTAAATTGGTTTTAAAGGACTCCAGTGTCTGGCTGTTTCTGAGAGCGACTGGAAGTGCGCTCCAAATTGTTGGGCCGGCAAATGCAAAAGTGCGCTTTCCGTAAGTCTCAAGGCTAACACACAGTATCGATATTTTGCCACTATCGGATGAGCAGAGCTGTCTAGTGGGTACATAAGGCGTCATGAGTGCTTTGAGATAAGATGGCGTCAGGTCATGTAAGCAGTGGTAGCACAAAGTTGCAATTTTGTATTCTATGCGAGCGCGGACTGGCAGCCAATGCAGCTCCGTCAGAAGTGTTTTAGCATGGTCGAATTTGCGTTTGCGAAGAACACCTTCTTAATGACAGATACTTAGGATCGGCCCGTACGGGATGAATTCTTTCCGTCAGGACGAGGACTGAAAGATATAAAAATTCTTTTGTTCCCCAATCTGTAAGAATTTACCATCGTGCTCCCTCTGAAGTCAAAAATTTTAATGAGAACTAATAAGTCCCTGATATGGCTAAGTGAACTCAGTGAATGGCTGCTAGTGAAAAAATTTATTACAAATGTCTTGTGTTCATATTGTTTTATATATGTGCTAAAATGTACAATGCAATCATAAAACATTTCCATTTGTTTGGAACAATAAAAGAATCTTATCTTATAATTAAGAAATTGCAGCTGAATTTGTACATACACCTAAAATGAGAAAATGTGACCTAGATTTAATTCGGCCACATCGGGTTTTTCAATCTGGTAGCTAATCAGTTAAGTGCAACAACAACAAAAATAAACTTTTTACAACTTATCATTTTTGGCTGCAAGTGAAAAAACTTTTAAATAGATATAATTGAAATAATACCAGCTGGGGAAAAAATCAGTGAATTATTATAACTATCACACTACATTATTAAAAAGATACAAGTTTTTCTTTCTCTCCTTCCTTCTCTTTAATCTGAGCAGTCAGAATTTCAAGTTCTGCATAATACTTTTTTGAGTTTGGGGGCTGAATCTTGTTTTGATCTGTAACAGTTTAAAATATGTGTAAATATTTGGTTATATTTTCTGTATATAAGCCTTCTGATCACTTCGCCCGTCCTAGCCTTGTCTGACCCTCTATATTATATTCTTAGAAAATTATTATGTGGCCAGCCAAATTAAAATTTACTTTGATGAGCTGATTGGCACAAAAGTTTTGCCATTCCAAAAGCTTTCCTAAAATCTATAACTCAAATTTTTTTTTGTTTAAAATGTTTTGGGCGATTTCTTTAATTAATTAATTTAATACAATTAATTCGGCAATCCTCCGAAGTCCGGTCCCAAATTATTGCGTATGAAAAAAATTGCAATGCACAGTGTCTATTGTTAGAAAACAGTAGAAATGTCAGTCATAGCTTTTGCAAATAACTGTCACTTTACAAACCAGTCAGTAAACACTAAATATTGTATTTGTAATTGGCGCATGACATTTGCAAATAGCAGCCGAAAACGTTCTGTTTGTGACTGTTGCGCCACTGAAGGCTCCAAGTAGCTGGCAAACAGACCGCGGCTAGTACCACTCTGACAGCGACTAGTACCACTCTGATAGCGGAGTTTACGTTTCGCTTGCATCCAAAGTCCTTCAATAGTTTCTGTGTGAATGTCCTGGTCTACTGGATCAACGAATTCATGCGCGTGCACAATGACAGCGTGAGCATAAATCCCGTTGTTGAGCTGACCGACATTTTGATATCCTCGCCCATCGTCCGTGACGGTAGTTGTCCCTGGCAACACTACACATGATTAGTGATATGCACTCGAGTGTTTGTGCATCTCGACGGCCGACAACCTCCATCCAACATCGTCCACTGCCGCAAAAATGAATTTCAAAACAGAAGGATGCGCAAGACTTTTAAGTAAGGAGTAATCATTGGAAATAATTTGGGACCGGACTTCAGAGTAGATACTTCGATGAAACAAGGGAGACTACTATTTTTTTTGTATCGGAAATGGCTGTCGGCGCCGAAAAATCCGAGTTTTTAATTTTCCGATGTGTGTGTCTATTTATTATTAAATTAGTTCTTTCCACATATATTTGAGTTCCGTTTCCGGCCTTATAATTTGGAAGACATCTTGGCCTACATTTCTAGCCAGCTATTTTGCTTTTTTCAATCGACCTTTATTTTGAAAATCTTTGGTATATATAAGGCATCTTCGCATACAAAATTTTTTGTGAAATAATAAGATAAGGTCCTTTTTGATTAAATCTGTATGAGCATTAGATATTGATCTATATCTGTGCCAAGTTTCATTGATGTAGGTCGTGTCTCACGTTTGTTACACTTGTCACAGTGACCCATATCACCATAAGGTGGCTCAGCCTAATTTCGACATGGCGTGGGCCACGCCCCCTTTTTAATGGCGGAAGTTGCCGATACTTAGGAAATATTTAATTATTACCACTATATACATCAAAATATTTTATATTTTGTGTTTCAGAATGCATTTTGAAGACATTTAAACTGGAAATGTTTTAATTTGAGCTTTAAAAACCCTGCAGAGTCCATATTATAAATGATCAGAATTTTCCCTGTGCAACACGTTGTCATTGGCAACCATTCACAGCCACTTGCATAACGGCTACGTCGTAGTACTATCTCAGAGTTTCATTCATAAGAGTTTGCCGTGTGCAAAAGCTATTAAACCATTGGTCAGGGAAAGCTTTTATTAATTATTCATGTGCCAAAGTTGAAAGTTTAAAATAAGTCGACCCTAAACAGTATTTTAGTGATAGGGAATGCGTTGCCTTATATAAACTATATAGTCATTGCGCATGACTCGATCAGTGGAATGAGGTCACAGAATGTGGAGATGAAGTCCATGTTAAAAAATGACAAACCAAGTCGTACTTTAAAAATTCATAACTTTAAAACTACAACAGCTAAAAATATGATTTTGGTGTTATAATTCTGTTTAAAATTAGCTCTATTCAACTGTGCCATTGGTTTATTTTTAAAAAATGTTTACATTTTTGACAAAAGTATCTATTCAGAGGATTGCCATTAATTCCAATACTGACTTAAATACTTACGTCCACCAACTAGGGGTATAGTAGCCTGAGTCTCTGTATTCTGTTGCAATTCATTTTGATTTCGATTCATGTATGCCATTGTATTTATACTTTTAATGACGTTAGCACTGTTAGAAGTGGGAGTGTTAGTTGGAGTTGGACTTAGGCTTAGGGTACTAAAACTAAAAACAGATCGGTCGTTGTTATCAAACATTATCTCCAGTAGTTCACTATTCTTTAAATTTTAAATGCAGGATCGCAAAAATCATTTAAATAATTAATAAATATATCATGCACTAAGCGCATAGCAACATATAAATGGCTTTTGGCATCCTTTTAACGATGTGTTATAGTGGCTAAGAAGGTCTCTTTTACCAATCGCAGCCATTTTGACAGAGTTGTCACGTGATCAGTAAAGGAAGTAAACAAACTAAAACTTGGTTACGTTGCAGGTTTCTTAGTTTTCCACTTAAATTTTCTCTAGTCTCTAATTAATTCTCAGTAATTTTAAATTAAAATAAAATTATATTTCTTAATATTGTGAGCATTATTTTTTTAGGAGGGGGCGTGGTTATTGAATATTTATAAATTAAAAGCATCAGGTTCATCAGGATTTTTTTTATCCTACTTTACCTTTAACTTTAAGTTTAGTTAGTTAGGGGCGTACATTAATATTAATTACAATACATTACATCAACAAATTTTAAGCAATTTTTGACACCCCCTCCCTTTTTTGTCAGGGGGAGTCGGGGTGTCAAAAATTTGTGTCGTCACATTTTTTATAATTAATTTTTAAAAAATTAAACATCTAAAATTTTCTAATTTTGAAAAAATCTTTATATAATTAATTTTAAAAACATTAATATAAGGTCACAATTGCCTCAGGTATTATAGTTACTATGAAACTCAGTTTTCTAATAATACTACATCTTAACCCATTATGGGAAAATTTTAAATAATAAAATAAAATGTTAGTTTAGTTATGAAAATTGTATGTATGTTTTGAATTCTTTTAGGTGTGACGTGACACGGGGGGTGGGGGATTAAAGAATTTGTGAAAACTTCGTGACAGGGGGAGGGGGCCCTAAAAAGGTCATTTTTAGCGTGACGTAATTTACGAACGACCCCATAGGTTTAGAAAGTTTGACAGTTGTTGACAAGAGGGGGGGGGGGGGTTAAAATTGCTTGAAACAAT